GCGTTGGTCGTCGTCAGTCGTCAGGCAGGAACTAAAGGTTGTCTGAACTGAACGGCTGAGCGGAGCTGGAACGTTTATTTCCACGAGCTTTGCTGCCTTCCTGCCTAACTCCACTACCCACTGCAAACCATCCCTGCCTGCGTGTTTGATGGATCATACACGCACTTTGTTTCCTCTTCCTCATCTGCCTTTACAAGAGACACCATCATTAGCGTAGCGAGATGTTTTCAGTCCTCGCGTTGATTCGTACGTACGTGAGGTTGCTAATAAGTCTAATCTTTCAGTTCGGTTTGCACCGCCTGCACTGTTCTGTTAGCAAACTTCCACGAAAGCAAGCAATCCGCCCTTGCGGTTAGGCAGGCAGGTTGGTTGATCTGATCGTTTTTTCCTCTTTCAGAAGAAGATGATCATTACTCGGCGCCGGCGGGGCCGATGGATCCGAGTCCGACGGCCAATGCTGCTGCTGGCGATGAATGAATAAAGCTAAAGCGCGTGCTGCCTGTACCCGTGGCTTGGGATGCTGTCTCTTCTTCTCTTCTCTTTCTATAGGAGAAGGGAGGAGTTAGGGGCTTAGGGCGAGGTCATTATCGGAACGCCTCGACTGAACTCAAGTGTTCGCTTGGCTGCTGGGGACTGGGGACACTACACCAACACTGCAGGACAGGGACGGAGGACACTTCGCATCATTCCTGCCTCCAGCCTTTTTTGTTTTGCGTTCCTCATCCTCTACGACCGAGGCTGTCTCCAATTGGATACCTAGAGACCCAAATCTAAAATGGTAATTTATAGCTTCTAATAGAGTAACTATATAAAAACCTATTTTAGATGTTAGGAGAGGTGTAACTCAAATCTGAGTATCTTCTCTCCTGAAGACTCATTTACAGAAAAAGAAGAGTTCTCTTTTTGGTCTTGTTGTTAGAGAAGACAAAAAAAATTGGGTATTGAACTCTTTGCCCGTAGCGCTATCCAAACGTGAAATAGATCTTGTATTTTGGGTAATGATTGTTAGAGACAGTTTGAGGAGGAGAAAAAAAAATGTCTTTTAGACTATCTCCAACAACATCACCCCAAAATACAACACCTTTTAGGTCATGTACAGTGAAAGCATCCCCATCCAAAACTTACCTTTCTCCAACAGGGAAGAGAACGCAAATCCCCTCCCTAGGCCGTCGAAAGCCCGCGACCTCCCCCTCCGCCCCTCGCCGCTTGCGTGCCAAGGCGTCAACGTCTTGCCTGCACACGCTCTTCTTCCTCCTCTCGCCCGCGCGTGCGCCTCCCTCCCCGCCCACGCTTCACGCTATCCCGCCCCCGCGCTGCTTGCTCTTCTCCGGCGGCTCCACCTATTCCCTCGGTGGCGGGCGCGACTCCTCTGCGGTCGTGGCTCCTCCCCTCCACCAGCACCACACCATGGCGGCCGCCGCCATCGCCGCCTTGGTGGCTAGGCTCATGGTCGTCCCGGCGCCGACGCCGACGCCCATAGTGCGGGTGGTGCCGGAATCGTTGCAGTGGGAGTGCGGGCCAGACGCAACCGGCTGGAGATGCGGCGGCCAACTAGCACGCCAACGGAGCGGGCGTCCCCCGCCATCTTCTCCTCGGCCCGACGAGCGGCATGTCGGAGATGGATTTGGGTCGTTGATAGAGAACGCCGCTTTTTTAGGTTCCCTCTCTCCTCGTACGCAAAATAGGTAGTTGCTTTACCTACTCTGTTGGAGGGATTTTTTCTACTGTGTTTCATACTTTTTGGGTTTGAATAGCCTTATGCATAGGCTGTTGGAGACCGTCTTGCATGTTCCAGAATGCATTAGTGCATTACTCAACACATACGATACTTTGCAGCGTCCCAGTTTCTAGGGCTACGTATGTATGTTTCGGTCTATTTAACAGCACAACCTCGCCCCGCCAGTTCATCAGTCTTGTGCTAGCATGAACGACGTACCGTTTTCGCTGCAAACAGTCTCCTAGGATTGTCTTCAGCAACCGCGATAAAAAATACAAGACTCATTCGTCCTTTGAGTAGCGCTACAGTCAAATGGTTCGATACTTATTTTTAGTCTTCTCCAACAACAAGACCAAAAAGATAATCTTTTCTGCAAATGGGTCTCCAGGAGAGAGGATACTCAGATTTCAGCAGCGCCGGTCCTGAGTTTTTCTAGGCCTAGATCGAGAACAAATATAGAGGCCTAGTCCACTTTCTAAAAATATTTATATATTTATATATAGTCTCATAAATACACATCAATTTAGAAGATAATGACATCGTCTTGAAGAACCTTGCTCATTCCATCATCAGATGCAAGGCAATCTTCAGGAAAGAATTTGCTCTAGTTATCCAAAGAGCAGAGGCTGATTTTCATCCTTATATAGATCTATGGCCAGAAGACTTCGTGTAATCTTAGCTATTTTCTTTTTGATATTTTTTGTCTCTTGATACACGTTTGTAAACTGTTGCTTTTGATTTTCGATAGTAGGGGTCTCAATCCCTCATGTTCCATCAAAAAAAAAAAGAGAGAGGCCTGGTGGCCTGCCGTCTGCGCTGCACGGGCAACACGGTGATGAGGCTGCGAACAGGATCACGGATGTGGTGTCACAAATTGATGGGAATTGGGATGGAATAGGCCCTAAGAATTGTGATCTGCTCGATTACCTATGATGTTGCGTCTGGCGGCCGCACAGTTCACAAGTCGCTTTGTCTTCCAAGCTCTGGATGGAAACTATGCCCTTGTTTAGTTGGAGTCCAAAATCCTAAAAAGTGCTATAGTACCTGTCACATCGAATGTTTGCGGCTCATGCATAGAGCATTAAATGTAGACGAAAAAAAACTAATTGCATAGTTTGGTGGGAAATTGCGAGACGAACGTTTTGAGTCTACTTAGTCTATGTTTGAACAATAATTGTCAAATAAAAATGAAGGTGCTACAGTAACCCCAAATTCCAAATTCATGAAACTAAACAAGGGCTATAAAGGGTCGAAGGGAAAGCCTTGCCAGACCTGCACTTGCTGTTGTATTGGGCTGTAGTCAATAGAAACCCACGTACTAATACTAGTATATACTGATGGCTTATACTAATACTTGTACTAATCTACTATATGGGGTGAGGCCTATCTAAAGCTGAGGCCTGGGTCGGCCGCACACCCTGCCCACCTCCAGGGCTGGCCCTGGATTTCAGTTATGTCTCTCCCGACATTTAAAATAGGTCTTTTATTATTGAAGACTATAGTATTGTAGATTTATTTTAGGTTTGGTTCCGCAACGGATCTTTTATTTTAAGTTCAGTGAGTATGCATGTGCATGCGTCCGCAACCAAAAACATTTGCCAGTTGGTGTGGTCGTGGTGCGACGGCCAGCGCGCACGTCTGAAAAGGGTAACGAGCCGCTGTACGATCGCACCGATCGTGTGTCCGAAGGAACCAAGATGAGAGAATGAAGGAGAAGGTGAAGGGCCAGCCGTCATCTAGCGGCAGTCAAATATGCGTGCCGCCAGATTGATCATGTCTCTGAAACTCCCTGCCTGTCCCGGCCAGCTTTTGTTACGCATTCTTCTTTCATTCACATCTTCGAGTGGATGTGGATGTGGATGTGGATGCGGATGGATGCTGGCATGCTGCTGGCACGATTGGTGAGAGGATGGAGTGGCAGTGGATGTGCTTTCTCGGGGAGGAGTAGTGCAGCTGGAAGGATTGGATCAAGCTCCAACCGATCTGGTCTTTCTTTGACCGACTGGCACTGCCAAGGGACCAAGCAATGGCAGCACTCAACTGTTGACTCCGGTGTGGATAATTTGGACCTGGAGACAGTGTACTCCGAATGCAAATCTCGTTTTCCAGAAGTTAATCAGTTTGAACTTTGATCAAAATTATATATATAAAAAATACAAACATTTCCTTATACAAAATTAGTATCATTTAGATTAGTCATAGAATATACTTTCATAATAGATTTATTTGGAGATATAAATATGAATATTGTTTGCTATAAACTTAGTTAAATTTGAGCAACTTTGACCGACACGGATCCTATAATTACATTATTTTCTTAACGGAGGGAGCACTTAACTGTAGGACCGGAGGAGACGAGAGGAGGAGACACTGCTCACGGTCAGGGCAGCACCCAGAGTGTATAGACGTGGAAAAAGAAAAGCTGTAAAAAGAAAAAGGAAGACATCGAGTTTGGACGCAGGCTCACTGGCTCACATTACTGGTCTCTGAATGCATCGCCGTCTGTATCATTCGCTGCACGTCTGCACCGCATTGCTTGCACTGAAGACTGAAAGTCTGAAACCCGCGGTACTCCATCGTTCTTCAGGCAATCAATCAGGGCTTGCACTCAATTAGGAGCAGCAGTGCACAATGACATGAATGCCCTGGAACGACCTCTCCTGGAGCACAGCACAGCTGCTGCCCAATAAAACCAAAAACAAACGGCTTGGACGGAAATATGGAATAGCAGTGAGCCTAGCCTGTTCGGCTGCTGCTGGTTGGCTGGGCTGGTCAGCCTTCTCACACGAACACTGCTTATGTGAACAGTGTTTTTCCGATAGAACTATATTTTTCTCTCGCATAAATCAGTCAACGGTACTTCTTCTCGAACCAGCCAACCGGACAGGCTGTAGTATTTTTTCCTTACAAATCCAACGGCTTTCATTCCATTGACCAGTCCACGACCCCCGCACCCGGGCAGCGGCAGCCGCCCGCGTCACGCACACGGCACCAAAGTCACCCAATTGCCCGGGCGGCCCAACAGCCAGCTCGCGGCCTCGGATCACAGCACAGTCAAGCCCCGTGGGCCGTGGCGTGACGTGGCCTGGCCCCGGTTCGTCTCGTTTGGCGCTCCCGGCTCCCCCTGCTTCTGCTTTCGCACCAGTTTAAAAGCCGCCCCGCGCGCCCGCCCCACGTCCCCCGTCCCCCGTCCCGGTCACGGCACGCAGCGCTCGGCCTCCTCCCAGTCCCCGAGTCCCGTCAGCCTCTCTCGCCAGTCGCCACGGCCCCGACGCCCGACCCCATGCAGGTCCTCAGGCTCCTGGCGCCGCGGCGCGGCGCGGCGACCACCATAACGGCCCCTACCGCGGCGCCGGAGCCCGCCGAAGACAGCAAGACGGTGGACGAGGAGTACGATGACGACGACGAGGGCTCCTTCTTCGAACTCGACTTGTCCGTCCGGGCCTCCTCCAGCTCCGCCGGCAGCGCCTCATCGGGCTCCTCCGACGACTCGGACGACGCATCCCTCACGGACCTCGACTTCGTCATCTCCCTCCACCGCAGCCGCTCCGCCTCGCCCTCCTTCCACTTCCCCGCGCCGCCGCTGCCGCTGCTCGACCTCAAGCCCGGCTCTGGCGGCCTGCGGACGCTCAGCTTCGCGGGCGCCACGGCCAGTGCCAGCAGCAGGAACGCCGCGCTCTACGGCGGCCGCCGCAGCAGCTTCGCCCGGAGCTCCGCCGGCAGCAGCGCGCGGTCGCTGCGGCTGTTCATGGAGTCCCCTTTGGCGGGCGACGCCGAGGATCCCGAGCCCGAGCCGCGGCGGGCGCCGTCGCGGGACGTCATCCGGCGGTACCTCACCAAGATCTCCACGCGGCTGCGTCGGAGCGTGCGCCCCCGCCGCGGCGGCGAGGGCAGCTTCCGCCGCCTGCGCAAGAGCCGGTCCGCGTCCGCCGCCGTCACGACGACGACCACCACGGCGGCCACGCCGTCGCGCCGCGACGACTCGCTGGCCGAGAAGCAGGACGGCATCGCCAGCGCCATCGCGCACTGCAAGGACTCGCTCCACCGGGCGTCCCTGTCCATGTCTCCGTCGGAGTGCGGGCTTCCGCGGTCGCGGAGCAATCCCGGGAACCGCCAGGCGCCGTAGCCTACGCGGCTACTCCCTATCCGTCCATGCCTGCACCGTACCATCTCCGATTCTCCGTTCAGAGCTCCTAACGACGGGAATGGAGGCTCTGGATGCAAAAGAAAGGCTCTCGCCGGAATAGTACAATAACAATTCGGCGAAGAGGACAAGGACAAGTGAATTGCTCCATGTTGATGCTAGCTAGAGATCTTCCGTATGATCATAATCTGCTTGTTTATGGTGTGTGAGTGAGCGTGTGTGTTTCGCGTCCTTTGGTTTAGTTTTGTTTAAGTTGGGTTGGTTCTTCCTTTTGTTGGAAGCGTGGGAAAAGAGCTCTTTTTAGGCTTTCTTTACCCCTCTAGTCTAGGTAGAAGCGTGGACTCTAGTAGCCGCCGCGTCGATCTCTTTGCCCTTTTGTTAGTGTGTGCTCGTTTTCTAAGCTTTGTTTGTATACAAGTGACCTGTAACAACGACTTGTAACTACGTAAATTTTGGACTTTCATGAGGTTTTGACCAACGGAGAGAAGTGGCCTTCGCCTACCATGTCCATTCAACGTTCATCCATGGATTCAGGACTCTGTTAGTTAGCACTTGAGAACCTTGAGAGCTCAACTCCACCGGTAATTGCTAACTGGAGCTTAACAAGGCTCTCATCTCTCATGGATTTTTCTGCAAAGCTCCGCTTGGAGCCGTAGGTGAAAACGCCGACCGGAAAAAGGCGAGGAGGAAGGAAAGCTCGGGGGGGGCCGGCCGGGCGCCATGATGGCGGCGAGAGGAAAAGGCGCCGGGCGCGTAGTACCGCTACGTACGGCCGGCGCGGGTGGACGAGGAGGGAGGACGGAGAAGACAAGGATCTGTGCGTGATTCTGATGGGCCTCGGGAACCGCGCGCCCCCGACCCATGCCGTTTAACCTTTCCTCTTGATTATCATCATCACCAGTCGTCTCTCACACTCACACACACTGCCAATTGGATCACCTAGTACGTCAAAAAAAACATACGTCTGGTTATTAAGGTAGCTCCGACACAGCAACTTGAATAATTTTCATGTTCGTTAATCTTGAAAATAAGGGGAAAATAAAGTTTAGTTAGGGAGAGGGCCCCAGAAGCAGGAGCAGCCAGCTGGCCACGGCAGCCTCTGGTCTTCCACTCCTCCGTGACTTGCTCCTATTCGGTCGGTCGCGCCCAGTCGCGCCAACGCAACGCCCAACGGGGCCGCCTGCCGCGTCTCTCCGTCGCCGGTGCACTCCAGACTCCACGGGCTAGGTCCGTGGGTCCCTTCCGTTTACCTCCCTCCCTTTCTCTCTCTCCCTCTTGCTGTAGCTTTTGCAGGGTGCGTGCAGTGCCCAAAGCTTTGACGGCTCAGGGAAAGAGCTGCACGAAAGCTTTTGCACGCTCCTCCGGCAGGGAGGGCACTCTCCTCGGCGTCGCTTTGCTTTGCTCTGCTGCTTTGCCCGTCTTTGCCTTGCCCAGCTGCCCTTGCTTGCCCGGCCTAATCTACTCACCCTGCCGGAAAGCGGAAAGCCATCCACGGCGGCGGCGTCACAAGCAGGGCATGCTGCATGCAAAGCTAAGCGAAAGGCGCGTTCCTGCTCCGGACCTCCGGCGCCCGCCTCGCCGTCAGCACGCTCCCCAAACAGAAAGATTTCACCAGACCCGATGCGATTACTCCTACTACAGCGCTGTGACTGTGAGGCCATACCTGCGATTGCAATTGCATTTGCAATGGAGTGGGATCTCTGCTTCTGCTAGCAGTAGACCAGTAGTGGCCGCGGGTCATTGGTCAGTCCCCATGGTAAGCTGGGAGCCTGGGAACGATCATTGCATCTGCATGCCGGCCTTGGGTGTCAGAGCGGACGACGCTGCGCTTCGGTTTGGCTGTTCTTTCTTCCCTCTTACCGATGACAAAACTGCATGCGTTCCCTGCGAGCTCGCGAGTGCAATCATGCAGGGTGAGGGAAAAAAAACATTTCAGAAACAAACTCTTCCACATCCCCGTTTCCAATCGAAAAAAATAAATACAGCCAAAAAAAGGTACGGCAAAAAAAATCCCGACAAAAAAAACGTTTTAAAACAAACTCTTCCACATCCTCGTGTCCAATCGAAAAAAACAAATACGGCAAAAAAAAAGGTACGGCAAACAAAAACCCGACAAAAAACGTTTCAGAAACAAACTCTTCCACATCCCCCGATTCAGAAACAAACTCTTCTACGTCCCCGTTTCCAAAAAAAATGTTTCAAAAAAAACAAACACAGCAAAAAAAAGTTTGCGGAAAAAAACATATACGGCAAAAAAACCGTTTCAGAAACAAACTCATACAGATCAAAAATCATATACAGCAAAAAAAACCGCTTCCGAAACAAAATGTTCCACATCAAAGAAACCGATCATCGAGTTTGGCCTAAAAAAACTTGGTCTCTCGACTCAATCAGCAACCACGTCGCCTGTACTTAATAAATCCATAGGTGTTTTCATGATGTTCCGGAAGATGTAGTCGATGAACGGGCACGTTACTAGACGCCTCGTCGTCCGTCATACATTGGGGTCGCATGCCTTCGTGGCAGTGGCCGAAGATGGCGAAGACGAGGAGGAGTCGACCTGAGATGCCTTGGAAGACAAGGAGGTTGTAGGCGGAGACGTCGTTGACGACGGTGAAAAGGATGAAGAGGTGCAGCGAATGTACTCGTAACTATTAGCGAAGTTGACGTCGTAGAACAAGACGACGGCGAGGGCAAGCAGGACGCGAGGACCGGTGTGGCAACGGTGACGGAGATCATACGTGACACCGGAGTGCCCTCGTGGAGCTTCATGGCCGCGAGGGGTGTACGCAAACGCAAACGACGAGGAAAAAAAACAAATCCTCGCGGACACTCCAACATGAAAAAAAGGACATCCATATATATAAAAAAAAGAAATTTATAAATAGTTTAGGGCCGCCAATATAAATTTGTGTATTAGTTTTTAAAATTTTCTAAAAATGATCAAATTTGTTATCGCAGATGCGCGTGAGTAAAAATATGGCCCCGCGGACATATATCTAGTAAAAATAAAAATCAGAGGAATACGGAAAGAGCTGATTTTGTGTCAGGCCTAATACACCGGCTCATAAGGCCCATTCCCTTTACCTTTGCCACGGGCCCCATATTTCCCCGGCATTCGGAAGCCCAGGCGAAGGGGAGCTCGACACTAACCCTAACCCTGCCTTTTCCCCCGGGGCGGCTCCTCCCGCACACGAGATCAGGACCGGGCCCTGGCGGCTCTTCGCTAGGGGAATCGAGAGTCGCCACTGCCGCCGCCACATCCCGCCGACGCCACATCAGCTATCGCTGCCGTCACCGTCGGATACACGATCACCGCCACCGCTGCCACTCCAGGCAAGTCCATCTACATCCGCTGATTTGGGTTGTTCAGAGGGTATGACTATGAGCGAGGTAGCGTCGTGGGCGGCGAGAGGCAAGGCGGCGGCGGCGCGGGGGCGACCGAGGGCGGGGCTGCAGTGGTGGTGGGGTGGTGGGCGGCGAGGTCGCCGGCGTCCAGGGCGGCGTTGGCGGGGCAGGCAGGGAGATTAGGGAAGGGCGGGGATGGAGCGGCGGGTGGTGAGGTCGCCGGCGTCCAGGGCGGCGTCCAAGGCGGCGTTGGCGGGGCAGGCAGGGAGATTAGGGAAGGGCGCGGCGGGTGGTGAGGTCGCCTGCGGCCAGGGCGGCGGTGGAGACATGCTTAGCAAATAGTGTTGGTGATGGCTACAGTCCTCACGCTCCCGTATCAAGGGATTGGGATTAGCCTTGTTATCAATGGCTAGTAGTAATCCTAATCCTAATCTCTTTTTCAATATCTTTTTCGCTACATGTTAGCCTTGTTATTATTTTTAAATCATCTTTGTCTTTTTTGGGTTCTAATTAATATGATTAGGATTAGGATTAGGATTAGATAAGTGCTCTTGGGGAATTCGAGTTAAAGTTTGTACTTTACAACTCTTATTACTTCATCATGATCTAATATGATATGAGCCCATTCACAGGTGTGCTCCCTCTCCTGGATCCCTGTGATCACTGATGGCTGCGGTGCTGCGCCAGCTTCTTCGTCCACGGACAGGATCCACTTATGCCACCTCACCAGCAATGCCGTTGCTGGTGAGATGCTGCTCCAGTGCTATCCCCCCTGCTGCTGCATCCGCTGAAGAAATGGCGGGAGATACTTACTGCTACGCGTTGTAAGTCCCTCATCCTAAGCTTTTTCTTGCTACTGCTTTGTGACTCTTATCAAGAATATTTGAAAAATGTCATGTAAACTACAGGTTGGAGCTGTGCTGTGTAACTCATATTGTTCATGTGACATTTCTTTCTGTAGGGGGGAGTTTGGCATGATGAAGTTTGACAGACAAAAGTTCATACCCCTCAGTTTTCGAGCGAGCACCAACTGACAGATTGATATCACCAATTTCCTTTTTCTCAGCACACCCATATTTCACATCAGAGTCCGCAAAGCAATGGATCCGGGCAGGATATCTGCAAGTGCACTTCGCCAACAAATTGAAGTTGTCAGTTTCGGGAGCTTTTGTTGATGGTAATGTAGGGGTAATTGAAGGGATTAACATTATTGCCTTTCTAAAACTTGACACAAACCTGTCCAGCAGCAGCAGCAGTGTTCCAGAGCCGTATCCAATGACATTTGCTGGGTTCTCAAATTTTCTCCAAGCAAAGATGAGAGAGGCCTATCCAGATGCAAGCTCTATGTCAGAAGGGTTAGAGGCGCTAATGATGCTTACTATCAGTGGTAAGCTTAACAATGGTTTGCCTGTGCCCTACAATTTGATCATACACCACCCTGAGTTCCTTCCTCTTGAAGTCATCGCCACTCTTTATATCGAGGCCCATAGGATCCTGAGAAGGCAACTCCCTGCTAATGGCCAACCTGCTCTAGCCTACAATGTTATTCTGGATCTGCATGCGCTGTTAGGAGGTTTCTATTTCAATTTCTGTGCATCAGATGATATGGTGAAGGGATGGCTTGGAAGGAAGCAGAAGCAGCCTGGGCTGCTGGGGGCCTTTGGTATCCCTGCACCACCAGGTGCGCAGTGTAACCTGAAACTGCTCACAAAGCTTGAAAGGAATCATCTAGAGGTGCTGACCAGGAAGGCTTACTCAATTCCTGCACCAGCACACAGCCAGCACACAGCCAGCTCCAGCACCATCAACTACCAGCACACAGCCTGCTGTTCCAGCTCCAGGATCGTCCACAGCTCCAGCATCGTCAACTGCGAGCACAGGATCTAGCAACCAGATTAAGACCCCCCCCCAAATCCAAGCGAGGCAATAGTGTTGGATGTGCATCGGCACTGCACGGTGCACATTGTTGAAGACGCACATGTTGCTCGCTGCTCGATACTTCCTGCAGGTAACCAAGCAAGTTTGAAGAAGAACCCAATGGGCTGGAAAGATGGCGTTCACCTGATGCTGCACAGGTTTCCAAGGTACCTGCATTGTGTCGTGGTGTCGTTTCAAATGCATAAGATTTGGGAAGAGCTGGATTTGCCAAGCAGATGCCCGATCCCTCAAATCTTTTCTTCCCCACCATTCAGACACGCTGGTGTCTGAGGATGGTATTCTGAGTGCACAGATGTCAATGTGAATTCTGGGAGTTCCTTTTCTGTTGATTTATTGCTGTAGTTGTAAAACTTTCTGTTCTGGGTTGCATGATGTTGTTCCCACGAGAGATCTCTTTTATCTTTTTGTGAACTTGGTTGTCGTGTCTAGAGGGTATTCTGAGTTCCCGTTCTTTACAAATGTTAAGAAGGTGATATTCAAAGTGAGTGTTTTCTGTTCAAATGTTGCTACAATGTGTTTGGTTGCATGATCTAGTTGCCACGAGGGGCCTCTTTTATCTTTTTTGTGAAGTGTTGTTGAACTAAATACTAGCGGAGTGGTGCCATCCCTGACGAGTGTCGGTGGCGATGGTTGCCTCAGCCTGCAGTTCCTCGACCTCTCTGGGGACGTGCTCGTCGGTGGCATCCTCGGAGCCTGGGCAACTGTACCGAGCTGCAGGCGCTGTTACTGTCCTCGAACAATCTGGATGACATCATTCCGCCGGAGATTGGTCGGCTCAAGAACCTGCGTGCTATGGATGTTGTGTCCAGGAACAGTCTGAGCGGACCTGTGCCAGCGGAGCTTTGGTGGTTGCGTTCAGCTGTCGGTGCGTGTGTTGTCCAATCGAAGCTGAGGATGTTGTGTGGGGGCCAAGGGCCACATTGGAGGGAGAGTTGCCGGGTAATTGGAGTTCTTGCCAGAGCTTGAATATGATGAATTTGGGTGAGAATCTGTTCTCTGGCGGGATTCCTAAGGGCCTGGTGGAATGTGAGAACATGAAGTTCCTGAATTTGAGCATGAACAGGTTTACAGTTTCAGTTGATTCTTCACCGCCCAGTGCCTTGCATGATGGACGTGTTTGATGTCAGTGGAAACCAGCTGTCTGGCTCGATTCCAGTATATATCTCAAAAAAGAATTGTCTTTCATCCCAGCCCCCATTGGATGACTTGGTGTTAGAGTATTCTTCCTTCACGTACCAAGCGCTTGCTGGCTTTATGTCATCCTCATCACCTGGGTGCGCATTTGACAAGCTACCATAGTTTTTTCCGGAACAATTTTAGGCCTGCTTAGGTTGAAGCTGCTAAAATTTAGACAGCTAAACCAGTTGCTAAACTTTAGCCACCCTTGTTTAGTTTGTTGGTGGATTAAAAGAGCCTTTTAGTCCCTTTTAATCAGAGTGTTTAGATTCAAAGTGACTAAAAGGTGAGGCGGTCTGGGCTTTAGTCCTATTTAGCAACCCCTTGGTGACTAATCGGCTAAATGCTCATTTAGTCCTATTTAGTCATAGTGTTTAAGTAAAAAATGACTAAATGGGGACTAAAATTAGCCGGCTAAAGTTTAGCAACCCAATCTAAACATCCCCAATTGCTGTTACATCCTTGCCTCTTGCTACTGAAAAGTTGGGGATGCAGGGGTCCAATGCATTCTTAGCTGATGGGAATCATCTTGGTGGTCAGCTTCAGCCTAGTCTATTTGACAAGTGCAACAGCTCAAGGAGCTTCGTCGTGGAAGTCAGTAACAACTTGATAGGTGGAGCTATTCTGTCAATCATGCTGTCAATCAGATCGGCAGCTCAACAAGTGGACTGATGACCACCCTCCAATTACTGTCTGCCAACTCTGCAATCTTGTCCTGAATGATGGAGTAATGCTGGTTTCATTCAGCATTACCTGCTACCCGCCGCTTGTTTGGTTGCAAGATGGTTGGCCATGAGTGTTCGAGGCAAATAGTATAAGCCAAATCATTAAGCACTGATGTGAAAAAAAAGTTTCTTACCGAAATAGGCTAATATATGACTATCCTATTAGCATATAGCAAGCAGCAAACACCTGAGGCAGAGCTCAACATCTCTTCCTCGCTGTAAGCACATGGCTTGTCACTATGGATGAAAACGCTACGGATATTTATTCGACCGTCCGTTCGACCGAACAAATATAAACAATTATCTGGATAGTTACTCGGATATCCGTAATTTTTTTCGGATACGGATAATAAAACGGATATCTTAGGCGGATATCAAATACGGATGTAATATCATCGATATCCGGCGGATATCGGATAATCCGGTTAAGTATCGGATATATCCGGATATTATTCAAACGGATATTATCCGGATATTATTCAAACGACCTTGGATGGAGAAATGATCAAAATAAAAATTGTAGATCTCAAAAAGTTATGAAACTTTGTTGTTTACAACTTTTTCGTTTGAAATCATTTAGTGCTTCAAAATTTAAACCATCCAAACTTTCTCAAATGGAAAACTAGTTTATAGACGTCAAAATTTAAAAATCACAAATTTGAACCATCCAAACTATCTTAAATGGAAAGTTGACCAAAACAACAATTGTAGATCTTGATAAGTTGAACAAACTTGGTATTCAAAACTTTTCAATTTGAAGTCATTTAGAGTTCATAATGCTAGAGTCAAAGTGTTGTTTTTTCATTTGACCAAATTTGACTTGGTCAAACTTGCTCAAATGAGACACTAAATGACCTCAGATGAAAAAACTCTGAATACCAAGTTTGATCATCTCAGCAAGATCTACAATTGTTACATAGCTCATTTTACCATTTGAGAAAGTTTTATCAAACACTAGTCACAAATTCTTGAATCTCATATAGACTTTGTGAAACTATGTCACACACTTGTGAAATTTAAACTATATTTTGTTCAAACTTTCTCAAATGAAAAAATGTCCTATATAAGGATTGTAGATCTTGATGAGATGAACAAACTTGGTATTCAAAACTTTTCAATTTGAGACAATCTAGAGTTCCGAAAACTAGTTTGTAAGCGTCGAAATTTAAAAATCACAAATTTGAACCGTCCAAACTATCTCAAATGGAAAGTTGACCAAAACAACAATTGTATATATTGATGAGTTGAACAAACTTGGTACTCAAAATTTTTCAATTTGAAGTCATTTAGAGTTCATAATACTAGAGTCAAAGTGTTGTTTTTTCATTTGACCAAATTTGACTTGGTCAAACTTGCTCAAATGAGACACTAAATGACCTCAGATGAAAAAACTCTAAATACCAAGTTTGATCATATTAGCAAGATCTACAATTGTTACATAGCTCATTTTCCCATTTGAGAAAGTTTTATCAAACACTAGTCACAAATTCTTGAATCTCATATAGACTTTCTGAAACTATGTCACACACTTGTGAAATTTGAACTACATTTTATTCAGACTTTCTCAAATGAAAAAATGGCCTATATAAGGATTGTAGATCTTGATGAGCTGAACAAACTTGGTATTCAAAACTTTTCAATTGGAGACAATCTAGTGTTCTGAAAACAAGTTTGTAAGCGTCGAAATTTAAAAATCACAAATTTTAACCGTCCAAACTATCTCAAATGGAAAGTTGACCAAAACAACAATTGTAGATCTTGATGAGTTGAACAAACTTGGTATTCAAAACTTTTCAATTTGAAGTCATTTAGAGTTCATAATACTAGAGTCAAAGTGTTGTTTTTTCATTTGACCAAATTTGCCTCGGTCAAACTTGCTCAAATGAGACACTAAATGACCTCAGATGAAAAAACTCTGAATACCAAGTTTGATCATCTCAGCAAGATCTACAATTGTTACATAGCTTATTTTCCCATTTGAGAAAGTTTTATCGAACACTAGTCACAAATTCTTGAATCTCATATAGACTTTCTGAAACTATGTCACACACTTGTGAAATTTGAACTACATTTTGTTCAAACTTTCTTAAATGAAAAAATGGCCTATATAAGGATTGTAGATCTTGATGAGCTGAACAAACTTGATATTCTAAACTTTTCAATTTGAGACAATTTAGGGTTCCGAAAACTAGTTTGTAAGCATCAAAATTTAAAAATCATAAATTTGAACCATTCAAACTATCTCAAATGGAAAGTTGACCAAAACAACAATTGTAGATCTTGATGAGTTGAACAAACTTGGTATTCAAAACTTTTCAATTTGAAGTCATTAAGAGTTCATAATACTAGAGTCAAAGTGTTGTTTTTTAATTTGACCAAATTTGACTTGGTCAAACTTGCTCAAATGAGACACTAAATGACCTCAGATGAAACAACTCTGAATACCAAGTTTGATCATCTCAGCAAGAGCTATAATTGTTACATAGCTCATTTTCCATTTGAGAAAGTTTTATCAAACACTAGTCACAAATTCTTGAATCTCATATAGACTTTCTAAAACTATGTCACATACTTGTGAAATTTGAACTACATTTTGTTCAAACTTTCTCAAATGAAAAATGACCTATATAAGGATTGTAGATCTTGAATCCATGACCATGACTCCATGAGACCCATGAAGCCATGAGCTTGGCTATTTCTACTCATGCCGCGAAGATTGGTGCTTGTATGATGTTTGATGTATGATGTATCTGTATCTTTATCTTATTTGTTGCTTTACTCTTTAGTCTTTCGGCTTAATCTAGATGGATTATGGACTCATAGAGTGGTGTAATGGTTTGCGCACGTATGATATATATATATATATATATATATATATATATATATATATATATATATATATATATATATATATATATATATATATATATATATATATATATATATATGCTGCTTTTACTCAATATCCGAATAGATATTTGTATCCGACCTTCTCCGAATCCGATTCATACCGTATTCGATACTCATTATTCGTATCCGTAACCGAGTCAATCCGTATTCGTATATGTATCCGAACGCTATCCGTGTCCGAATCCGAATCCGAACAGAAATATAAAAACAAATATAATATGAGTGATATCCGTTTATATCCGATCCGTTTTCATCCCTACTTGTCACCATGCATTCCTACAAGCACCCACGGACCCACCACAGTACATGTCCTAACTGCATTCTTGGTGCCACGTAGATTCTGTCCTTATTTGGATGTCATAGTTTGTAAAAGCTATTGAGTCGAGAAGCCAAAGTTTCAGAAAGAAAAAGGGATCCTCGGGTGAACGAGTTTCCAATGTTCCAAAGACTACAACAATAGCAATACACTAGTTTTTAAAACTACGAGATTTGTTAGTCTCGTAGACTTGTAAACCCAAATTACTGATAACTGCAGTATTATTTTTCTTTTCTAAACTAGGAAACTTATCTAGACAGGATTAAGACTGCATGGACTTATCTAAACTCATCTACTACGAAAACTGGATGGCCTTCTGTCTTCTCCGTTGGCATTACTGACTGGGATGGAGCCGAGGAGGGATGATTATTGGCTCGTGCAGTTGTTCGCTGAGCCTGAATCCATGCAGGTTTGAAAGTTCTGAAGGTAGGGCCGACACGAACAATGGCCACTCACTCCTCCTCCTTCGCAAGTTCAGGGTCAAAAAGCGCTATCCTTTTTCTTCCCGAAGCCAGGATGGATGGCCATTGGTTAGTTCCAGTTCCAGCCTCCAACAGCTACTGTTGTGAACTGGATAGCCAACTGGGCAGCGGTGCAGAGAAAGCCCAGAGGGCGGTTTCCTCCGCAGGGCCCGTTCCAAACTCCTGTAACGGTCGCCGGTGCCGGCATAAGCTTGCTTTCAGCTCTAGCTTACCTCGACAGACGTTTGAGAGAGTCGAGGCTGGATGACTCTGTTGACACTGTTTTTTTGCACGTGTCAAAATGATCGGAGTGGACTAATCGGCAAGGGGAAAGTTACTGTATACTCTGATAGCCGATGAAAGCCAGCTTGTAAAGAT